GAATGTTTCCATTTCCCTTTTTCTTCTCTCCAGGAGAAAAAAGCAGAGAAACAAATATTGAATAATGGCATGGATTCCATCCGGGGGATTGGTGAGGTACTGTATTTCTGGGGCTCTGTGTATGTTGATCTTTATGTTTTCTTCCACTTGTCATCTGTCTTATATATTACCTAAGATAGCTCCTATTATCATTGCATCTGATTTCCTCATTACATTTAGTATATTTATCTTCACCACACACCAGTGAGATAAGGATATAAAAGTACGGAATGCTACTAGAACTGCAGCAAGGGCTACACGTCAATTCTGGAAGTAGAATGGTAATATTTGAAGAAATCTGTGAAAAAAACATAGAGGCTTGAGATGTGTGTTAAAGCAAGGAGAGCTTGTGCTTAATAATTCCATTATTTTATTCCTAATGTGTGTAACTGGTGTATTACACTGGTCCCGGAGCTGCCTCCTTTCAAGACAGCAGTGAATCTTTCTGACCTATGCAGCCATACTCTACAACAGCTCCTCCAGACTCAAGCTCCAAATTTCATATCTGAAGCTCTGTATCTGAACTTTCTTAATGTTTAGATGCATTCAATCAGATCTATCAATATGTTGAGCAGCAGGTCTTCATAAACAGGCATTTATCAGGAAAAACTGCACTGCCAATATGTTGAGCAGCAGGTCTTCATAAACAGGCATTTATCAGGGAAAACTGCACTGCTGTCTGTCTGCCATTTTAGTTTATCCCTAAAAACTCACCCTTTTCTACAATTACCTATAGATCACAGCAACATCTACTGGTTGAACTTCATAACTGCATGAAAATGTTACACAGTCTCTATCCTCTCTGTTAAGTTGTTTGAATCTACACCTGAAGTAATTTTGCTGAGTCCATGCAGATCAGAAGTAGTGAGCGGCTGCTTTTGCACAAAAACTTGCCAGCTGTCTACACTGGCCACTTGATTTTGCGCAAAAGCACTGATGTTCTAACTGTCCGAAATCAGTGCTTCTTGCGCAAATGCTTTGACGTTTCCGTTTGGGCAAAAGCCCTTTTCCAGAAATGTTTTTGCGCAAGACGGCCAGTGTAGACAGCTAAAAACTGTTTTGTGCAAAAAAGCCCCGAGGGTGAAAATAGTGATCGGGGCTTTCTTGCGCAAAACTGCGTCTAGATTGGCATGGACGCGAAAAGCGTCCGTGCCAATCTAGACGCTCTTTTCCGCAAATGCTTTTAACAGAAAAACTTTTCTGTTAAAACCATTTGCGGAAAATCATGCCAGTCTAGACGTAGCCAATGAGTGTTACTGGTTTTATTTAGCTATGATTCCTGTTCGAGTCAGCACATTGGTAACAACCCCACCAAGAAAGCAGGGGCAATGCATAGTTATCATGGCACTCCCCCTTAAGGAATTTCAGCTATTCAGTCAGATAGTTAGTTAATGGCCATCTCTTTTAAAGGGAGAACAGACTGCAGATGTCCTATCTAGTTACCCCTCAGAAAAAACTTGTGAAAATGCAAATCCCTAAGGACATCACCCTGCACACATCCAGACTAGAGATCAAGCCTTATTAGACTTCTTCATGCCATCATTTCAAAAGGTACTTGTCTGCCTTTCCCTCTTTAGGAAGCAAGAAGTCAACAATACAGCTGTCAGTAGGGAATATGGTTCAGAAAACACAGCTGTGGGATTAAATAGGAGAGACCACAAGCAAGCGTGCTTTTTTTTAAAAGTATTATTATTCAAAATGCTCTTCACTCCACATTTTGCATTATACGATCAGATTTGTGTATTGGTCAGCAAATATAATTTTATTTAAATGTCTCTGCCACATAATAATGGAACTAGCACGTGAGCAATTTACTGGACAAATCTCACATTGCCAGGTGTCTGGGCTAAAGTCAGACTTCAGAAATACACTGAATTCAAAAATTCTCATGTCCCATGGATGAAGTTGATGTTCACTAATGTTGAAGTTCTGCGGACAGAATTTGATTTTGGTCATGACATGAAAAATGACCAGAAAAGGGCCAACATGTAGAGAAATTTCTATGCTTCTGCATGCTTCATGTGAGATACCTTCAAAAGGGTTTGATTTTGAAAGGATAGATGGCCAGCTTTTTCTGAAAATACAACCCCTTTAAAGATCGGGTATCCAAAAACTAAAGCATCCCAAATCACTAATTACCTCTCGAGATTTAGGCCAATGTCTGTATAATATAAAGCACATGAAGAACTTTGGAATCCACACACCTTCTAAACATCAACAGGCTTATATGCCAAAGTCCTTTTATACTAAATTGTCTGTAGTGACCTCAGATTTTTCTGTTCGCAGGAGGATGCAAAGATTATTAAAAAATAATGTTGTCATTTTCCTTCAGATTCATTGTTTATGAATAACTATACAGGAAGTCCCCGGGTTACGTACAAGATAGGGACTGTAGGTTTGTTCTTAAGTTGAATCTGTATGTAAGTCGGAACTGGCGTCAGCCGCTGCTGAAACTGATCAGTTTCAACCGCGGCTGAATCTGGACGCCAGTTCTGACTTACATACAGATTCAACTTAAGAAACCCAGGCGTCCCCAAGTCAGCTGCTGCTGAAACTGATCAGCGGCTGATTCCAGGAAGCCTGGGGCAGAGCAACTCTGGTTCTTAAGTTGAATCTGTATGTAAGTCGGAACTGGCGTCAGCCGCTGCTGAAACTGATCAGTTTCAACCGCGGCTGAATCTGGACGCCAGTTCTGACTTACATACAGATTCAACTTAAGAAACCCAGGCGTCCCCAAGTCAGCTGCTGCTGAAACTGATCAGCGGCTGATTCCAGGAAGCCTGGGGCAGAGCAACTCTGCCTCGGGCTTCCTGTAGTCAGGCGCAATTTCCACCCACTTTTCAGCTAGATTTCAGAAAGTGAAATTTTGCTTGCCAGCTGAACTTTATCATTTTGATACTTAGTTTTCGTTGAATTTTTTAAGATACCTTTAGGAGCCAGATTGCAGGGATGAGGCATGACTTTGTTCCATTTACACACGGCATGACCTGTTCAGGCCTTTCTTAGTAAGCTCACATGTAACTGCGGATCCGACATAAGTCGGATCCGTGTAACTCGGGGACTGACTGTATTTGTTCTTCAAAAACCTCCAAACATACTGGGATGAGTTTTGGAAAATTTTTTCCCTGCCATTCATTCAATTATACTCAAATTCATTTTTGCATTGTTCGCCAGGCTGTAATCTTGGATTATTCCACCCTTCTACCATTTTCACTTGTGTATAAAAGTCTTCTGGAAGAGTTTTTGCAGAAGAAAACTTCCACAAAAGAGTATTTGCGTGAGAACACACCAGTGTAGATGTAGTTTAGAGAAGAGGTAAGGCTACAACAGTGAAAGACCACAAAGTGTTGAAAATTGGTGCTTATTCATCCTTTTTGGCTCCTTTTTGCTTTTATTTCTTATGCTAATTTCATATTTTCAAATTTGGGGCAGAATTGGCCATTTTTTCTCTTGTTATATGGTACAAATATAGAGCATGGTACATGCAGCACTGAGGCCCGCACTGCTTTGAGCTAACAAGAAAATTGTGCAACTGTTCTTGTGCAACAGGCCGGTGTAGACAGGCATCATGACTTTCTTGCATAAGAAAGCCCTATGGTTAAAATGGCCATCAGAGCTTTCTTGTGCAAGAGAGCATCTACACTGGCATGAGAAAGGAAAAGCATCTGTGGGGGGATTTACTGTTGATAATAGGATAAAGGTGGCTTCCGATGTCAAGCCACAGCTACCATGGATCTTTCCGTTTGCTTTTCTCGGCGTAAGCCGCATGTTTACAAAATCAGACACAGGAACTTAGCATGACATTTATTACTTTGCTTTGTCTAAACAAGGGGAAGAGATGACAGAAAGTTCGATTCCTGTTTACAGATGTGCTCAGATTTTGAGCTTTTACTGTAGCTGTAGCATCTCTCAGATTTTAATTCCCTTTCTCAGTTCCTTTAACTGCAGATCTTTAGACAGCCAGTGCTGTTCCAGTTCCTTTTATGACTTCGTCCTGCACTACTGAAGGCAATGGGCATTTTGGCATTGAATTCAATTGGATCAGAATTGGGCCTTCAGTCACCCCACTTTTTTAACACTGAAGGCTTAGTGATCACCATTTCATAGCTAGTAGATGTGTCCCTTGATGGAGAAAGGCAATTTTCCTTTGTCTATCAATGTTTCTTCTTTGCCACTAGATGTTAAGTGAGGGTGTATGATCTTGTGGAGGAAGCACTTGCTGTGCAAAGGTTTTTCTAGGAAAGTCACTTTTCTTACCTGTGTTTCAATTCCCACTCTTCTGTTTCTCTGTTGTATTGACTGCTTGCAATCTGTATCTGTCTTACATATTTGGAAAGTAGATATGTAGGGCAGGGAATGTTCCACTACAATGGAAGTTAAAAAGAATTGCTCCATCCTTAATAAGTGAAGCATTAAAGGAATTGATTGTACTACTGTTATATTGAAAGAATGTTTCTCTGTTTGTTTCGGGTAGCATTTACTCATTATAATAATTCAATATTGTTTCACAGTTTGGGAATAATTTATTTTTGAAGGAACTATTCAAAGATAGGTCCATCACAGACAGCTTTGTCTCTCTAGAATACGGGACCATCTATTGCTGAGGATCGGGGACAAGTCATCTTATGATATGAGTGAGAAGCAAGGATTTATTTTTATTTTGAATAAAATGTGAAATTTTTGAAATCTGAATTTTTTGGGATGAAAATATGTTTGAACAATTTAGAACAGGAGGAAAGCATTTTCATGAAAGTGTTGTTTAAAAACAGAATTTAAACTCTTCTCTTCTACAGCTTGGTATCAGACCATCAGACGCTTGGACTATTAATATTAGCTTCAGTAAAAAAAATAAATAAATTGTGAGTACTTTTGAAACAAAAATGTAAGTACATATGCTATAAAGTTAAGCAGTTGATGATATTAATAAGAAAAGAAGTAGTAACAAAATAAGCCTTCCTGTTGTTTATTAGATTTTATAGGAATGACATGTACAGCATATAAAAAGTATAAAATAGCAAAATAACAAAAATGTTCATGTGATGAATGTTTTGTTAAAACCATTCATTGGATTAACAGCAAAAACCAGCTTTTTACAATTTATTATGCAACAATACACTTCTAGTTTTTAGTTCCTAAGCTTAAAATCTTAGCAGCTCTTGTAGCTTTACTTCTTAAAATTAAAGCAATTGGAATTTTACTGTGTTCAGATGGCATGGTGAGGGTTGGTGAACAAAATATTTGGTTTTGTTATATCAAAAATATCAATTACTGCAAGTTTTAAAAGCAATTTTGTGAACATTGTACTTGGTAATTTGAACATTTTGCAACACAAAAAATATCATTGGACATAGGAAGTCAATTTTTATTGACTTATAATTTCTCTTTGTTAAAATATACATGGGACCAATTATAATTTTGATTTTCTTTTGTCTTTATGAAAATGGCATATTCTTAAAAAGGTCACAACTCAGTGTAAAGTTGATTCTCCTAAATAAACAGTATAAGACACATTTAACTTGTGGTATGCTTTAGAAGACAAGGGTTTGTTTAGATAAAGTGCATCTATATAACTGTAATGGGAAATTTATTTTTTCATTGATAAACTTGTATGTTTTCAGTTTACATCATACAGTGGATATGTTGGATAAATCTAATACCTATATCTAAACTGGATAACCTAAAAAAATCTGTATTTCTTCTACATTACACATCTAACATAATGGTTTAATACTACAATGTAAAATACATTAGAAAAATCAAAACTTACTACCAGGGAATATTATATATACAATTACCAGTTTTGAAAATCTTCTCTGGTAAAAATTTCTATAATTTAATTACTCATGCATGCCCTATTTGCAATATCAATTTGATTTAAACTGAATATTTTTTAATATCGTCCATATAATGTTCTTCCATAGTCATCAAGCACTATTGTGACACACTTAAGATCTTATACCACTGCCAAGACAGCTTATATATTAGGTATTTAAAACAGTTTTGGGTGGCTTTCAAAGAATGGATCAAACCTCCAGAAATAAAATATAAAGCATTATTCCTCTGATTGTCTCTTTTCAAGGAAATCTCTTTCCTTTTTATGTTGGCACATATCACAAGAACTCTTGAGATGATTCCCAGAAGTGAACATTATAATAATTTTAGAAAGGGATGATGCAAATCCATTATTTCAAAATGCAGAAGAGTCCAAAACAGCTATGCTTCTTAATATTAAACAATGATACTATTCAGTGGATGGATAACTTACTTTCTAAGGAAAAGATGTAAAAGATATCTTTATCATACTGAGAATAATTGTATATCTTCCAAAGAGTGACTCACTGGGTGCTCTTTTTGTAATGCTGTCTCAAGACCATTGGCAAGAACAGTCTGTAGGTTCTTGGATTGAATAGTTGACCCATGTTGAGTTGCCACTGCAGTACAATTGCACAGTTCGTCTTTGTAACCCAAGTTCCCTGCAGCATTTGCAGAATCTTGCATATGTGTTGATGTTGTAGTTATAAATGCTAGCAGAAGGGCATTTTCCATCACATGAAACAATGTTTACCTGTTAAATGAACATTTTAAAAGGATCATTGCTTTTAAATGACTAAAACACCCTAATTTGGGATTTTCAGACGCCAAAGGAAATTTAATGGAAGCTCAACGGCAAACTACCTTATACTCCTTTTAAAACCTCATCCAATGTGAATAATAATATGATTCAGCGAGGCCCACATTTTATTCTCACTGACATCAATAGGAATTTTTCCATTGATTTCCAAAAGACTGATTGGGTCAGCAAGCAACATACTCAGCTCCAACAACATGATTTCTGAGGTTTCATTTCGAAGACTTCACAATATTAATTTGGCCGATGCACAACAATGGCTATTTCTTTGCTACATTAGGGAGCAATGTTCTGGAAAAGAAATACTCCCTAGGAAAACTGAAGAACTTTACTCCAATACTGGAGCAGGCACTTACTATAACATTCCCTGCGTGATTCCTTTGTGTCCATGGGCCATCCCTTCTATTCTGAACTGGAAGGGACCTTGAGAGGCCATCAAGTCCAGTTCCCTGCCCTCATAGCATCATCCAGATGATCCCTGACAGGTGTCTGTCTGACCTGCTCTTGAATATCTCCAGTAATGGAGATTCCACAATTTTGCTAGGAAATTTATTCCAGTGTTAAACCACTGACAGTTAGGAAGTTTTTCCTAATGTCCAAACTAAACCTCCAATGTTGGATTTTAAGTCCATTGCTTCTTGTCCTATCATCAGAGGTTAAAGAGAATATTTTTTCTCCCTCCTTCTTGGAGCAACCTTTAAGATATCATGTCCCTACCCAGTCTTCTCTTTTCCAAACTAAATAAACCCAATTCTTTCAGTCTTTCCTCATAGGTTGTGGTGTTTTATCTCCTATAAAGTGCTGTACACCTTCAATTCCTATTAACTTCAGTAGTAGACAAATGCTCAATGCTTTGCAGATTTGAATCTGTATTTCCCATTCTAAAGATACAGCATAAGTGGTATTTGAGATACTACTGCATTGTAACGAATAGTAAATATTGACTTTTTAAACTGATGACCACTGCACGTGAGCCACTGCAGATCTGTCTGTGATACAGGCCAATTTCAGCCCTTATGCTGAGTCAGAAAGAGAATGCATACAATGACAGAGTTAAATTCCCATCATGTCTTTTCTCATTTCCACCTTTCCTTATTTTTTCCATTGAAACAAATTATGATAGTTACTTACGGGTGTGTTACTTCTGCAGTCATTCTTGCGGATAGTCATTCTAACAGTCACTTTTTTACAAAATTTCCCATCTTCTTTACCTGCAAAATGTACATTGATTGTAAAATAATAGCTAATAATTCTAAATATTTCAGAAATAGCAACATTCCTATAAGTGTGATGGGCTAAAAGGATACCAAAAAAAAAAAAAAAAAGATATAAAGAGTATACCACAACATATACCAAAATCTCTTTGACAAAGCTATATAAACTGTAATTTGTATTTAAATTTTGGTTTTAAAATCTATAATTACAATATTTGATGTAATTTCCACTGTATCTTATGCATTCAACTATATTTCCAATGCATTTATTCCATATATATACATTTTTAAGGACAAAATCCATAAACCACTTAAGCAGTATTATAGCCTCTGTCATTCTGAAAATGCATTACTTCTAGTACATTGTTTTCTGAACATGAAATGAAGTAACCATTCCTTTGAGAAGACTATTGATGGTACTTTTAAATACATTTTCTGCCTTATAATTGTTTGATAGTTTTATTTCATCAAGGTTGCAACTTTTGGTAATAAACACCTTACAACACAGGAATTTGCCAACTACGAAGGGCTTAGGAGAAGCTCTGTGTTTTCATACTTTCTGTGTAAAGAAACAGAAAAGCATCCCTTAATAACAAGATAAAATACTCAATTCCAATTTGATCCGTATTTTAATTTTTACTAAAAAGATACAAAACATATAGATATATTTTAAAATATCTATTTATACACACACACACACACACACACACACACACACTGAACAAAGTGTTAAACATAATTAAAGGGGGGAATATTGAATAGTTGAAGAAGAGCTAGATCACGCAGCAAGCTCAGTCATTTCAGGAATGAACTAATAGCAAAAAAAAAAAAAAAAAAAAAAGATCTTCCTGCTGGAGAACCCACATCACAAAGAAGATCTATAAGAGAAATCACACGTCCCTTCTATTTGTTGGACTATTGTAGTTTTATGGCACCTATACTGTGTTATTTACAGAGTCATATTATAGAATGCTTAGGTCTAAATACATAAACAGATTTTGACACCTAACTGCCACTTTAGGTGCCTAAACCCAAAATTTACCTCCGAGCCCCAGCCCATCAGTCATATAACTATTAGAACATAAATTTCCACAGTAGTGAAATTTCCAATGAAAGGTCCCCATGGCACCTAAAAATCTACCGGCAAGCATACACACAGCCACCTAAATCCTGACTCCTGGCTCCTATTTCATAACTAAGACCTGGAAATTAGGTAATCACTAAACCTAATCCAGGAGGCATTCTCAGAGAGTCGGACCTACACAAAATACAACAGCTGGAGGGGTGCTTGGTGTACCTCTTGTAACAGGGGTGGCAATAACCAGCCCATGGGCAAGACATGGTTTGCCATGATTAAACACTGGTGGGCTGCCAGACACTTTGTTTACCTGAGCGTCCATCGGTATGGCTGCTCCCAGCGGCTGCGATTCACTATTCCCTGACAATGGGAGTTGCAGGAAATGGCATGGCCCAGCCACTATAACCATGAAAAGACCCAAGCCCTGTTACAATGACTATTTTGGTTATACAAAATAAATAGCTTCAACAAGAGAGACTGAGACAGGGCCACCTCAGAATATCCCATAGCCCAGTGGTTAAGGCAGGGATCTCAAACTCTTGACCCACGGGCCAATCCCTGCCACAGCAAGTGACCAATCTGGCCCAGGACTCCTTGTGAGTAGGGGGGGCAGGGCTGTCGATTATTGGCCCTCCAAACCCCATCCCTTCCTGCCATCGTCCCGCCCTCTCCCTCCCATGGCAAACCGCCCTCCAAGAATCACTGGGGCAACCTCTCGCAGTGCGGTGGCAGCGGTCAAGCCCCTGCACACTCCCCTTGATGGCAGGAGCCATGAGGGAAATGGAGCACATTGAGCAGACTCACTTGCTCCATTTCCTCACAGCTCTTGCCATCACCAGGTGTCGTTATCCATGCTGTTTCCTGGAGCTCCCATTGGTTGGCAACTGCGATCCATGGCTAATGGGAGCTTCAATTGCCCATACCTGCGGAGGCACAGGTAAATATAACAGTAGAGGCACACCAGAGGTTAATCCTGGTGAACTGCCACTGTTTTATTGCCCAACCATGAACTAGCCCTTAGGCCTCATAATACTCTCATCTTATACATCAATGCTGCCTTTCATCTCAAAACTCAGGATAAAACTCTTAATATTATTATTCACAGGAAAAGAAAGACAAATTTGGTTTGCCCAAAATCATGGTTTATGTCATGGCAAAGACGGGGTTAGAATATGAATCCTAGTGCTCAGTTATGTGCTCTCACCACTAGGAAATACTTCTTCTTTAAGAAATGCAAATTTAAGTTTTGAAAGATAATTGACACCAAGTACAGCAGGGTTTTTTAGAATGTGGATTTTTTTCTAAGAGGATTATTTCCTCCTCTTCATTTTCCAGTAGAAAATAGCTATTGACTACTGTAAAAGAATCAATACATTGTATCGTGGGTAGGATAAAAACACATTGAATAGGCATGCAATTAGCCCACTAGGACTGTCAAACAGAGAAGAGATAAAACAACATTTTAAAAAGAAACAACTCACCGTTATTTATTTTGTCTGCAAGGAAGTGGTCACTGACCAAATGAATAATATCCCAAAATCGCCAGTTATATTCTTGCCCTTTGTTTCTCTTAGCACACAGTAGTTGATGCTCAGGATGGGAAATTCTTGAGATATAATTATGGCTATGAGTTAATCTTGGCTGCTCTGCAAGTGTGACACTTCTTGGGAACAAGTACAGAATGCAGTGTATTTGCATGCATGTGTTGATGGTTCTTAGTAACACTTATTGACAGACATACATAGTTTTCCTTCAAACAACTTTCATATATATGGCATATGACATTGTAGGTAACTATATGTACTGTAATGAGATTGCTTTGTATATTTTGTTTGGTTGAAACACGATGTTTGAGTGCCTCCAATAGATTCATGGGTCCTCTGTAACTATATATACTATAATATGTACTGTAACATTACTGAGGGCCACATTCTGCTCATTTATCTGGGTATGACTACAGATGAATGACACAGACATCAGTGGAATTTTTCCAGACTGACATCAGTGTAATTTGGTGCAGAATCTGGCCTTCAGTGAAGTTACAGCACATATCATCATGTATATAGTTACAGTCAATCCTTTGTTAGGTAGCAAAGTGTACTTGTGTTTTCACAAGATGCAAGTAGTGAAGATTGGCATTAATTCCATGTGTTGTAAGGCAGATTTTTACCATTGTTACTGTCTGTCTCCAATTATTATGGTATATATTTCCCATAGACTGTCCTGATTACAATATACTAGAAAATATGAGCTGCTTCTTGAACATATGCCACTAAATGCCATATAATCTTCTAAAGAGTTATTTGAATAACAAGCTTTAATGGGCAAAGCAATTAGTCTTTATGTTCTACAGCAGTGGTGCACAACCCATGGGTCGCAACCCCCAAGGGGGTCACAGATGTCTTCCTGGGGGATTGCCATAGCGGTGGGCATAAGCCCCAGCCGCCTGGATCTAAGTGCCGTGTGGCCACCAATGGCTGGGCCAGCCCCTGGCTGGCCAGATTTAAGCGCCGTGCCGCCACACTGCTCAAATTACCTTGGGGGTCACAACAGAGTACAATAAAATATGGGGGTCGTGGTTGAAAAAAGGTTGTGCACCACTGTTCTACAGCACTATAAACAATAGGATTAGTCAACTTTTTAAATGTAGCAAAACACATGCAGCAAACTAAACACTATGCAAATGCTTACTACCAACAGTACATTGTTGGCTAACAACAATGCACTGCCCATACAGTGCATAAAGAAAAAACAAAAACAAAACACAGGCGAGCCATTCTGAACAATAAGAAGTTAATTCTATGGTGCAGCTTTTAAACATGATTTGATGACATGAGGCCTGATGCTCCTATCAGGGAGTACATCGTTGGAAATCAACAATGGTGCTGGTTGACTTGTTGCTACTGATTTCCAATAAAAAGTACCTGCATTACAGGTAGCCCTAGCTGTAGGAGGGCCTGGGCTAACAGGAAATGGGAACAACAATGACATTCTGGAACCTGGTAAAAATATTACATTTTGAACAAGTTACACATAAAAGAAATGGGGTCCCTCTATCCTTAGTCAACATTTTATGGTCAGACCCACTCATGTTTGAAAAGGGTACTTAGAAAAAGGAAAATAACTGAAAATGTAATTATGTTGTCTATGATACAGTAGTTATTAAATATAAAACATCTTGAAAATAAAAGTAAGGGTAGGAGGAACTGAATATTGCTTAGATACTTGTGATTTGTTTTTAGCCTATTCACCCCTCATTTACCTTAATTGTAACTCCGATGACCTCAGTGAAACATTCGATTTTATTAAAGGACAATGTTTAAACTACAGTTTTACTACAAAAATTAAAGAGCAAAATCACAGTGACTCATCAGGACACGGTATTTCAAATGAAGACAAGATGCTAGTGACCTTATTCATTAAATGTCTTCTGTTGTTATGACTGATCATGAAATTCTTATTACTACAAGTTTTTACATTCAATCTGGGCCATATGATTTTACAGTAATTGCTGGATCAACAAGCTTATACAGATATAAAAATCGGTTGCATTAAAATACTAATTATGAATTTATTTTTATCCACTGAAAAATATGAACAAATATTACACATTGTACATGCAAATGTCAAAAGATGTGGCATTATTTGCTGGCTAGATTTTGTTTCAGAAAATTAAGCCCTAAAGGAATGGTTCTGTTTTGCCTAAGTCTACAACATTTTAGCCTTTCTGGAAATATAATATCAAGTGATTTTACCAGTCATCAAGAAACAACATGGCTTTTTTTTAAAGGCTTGTGAAAAGACTGCTTGTCCATTATCTGACTTAAATGACAGCAAGTGACCTGAGATATAAGGTCAGGGGAGAGAAGGGCAGTTGGAAAGATTGATTAGAGTACAGAGCTGGGGGGGGAGGGGGGAACGTATTTCAGAACCAGGGACAAGTGTCTGTAACAGATTTCTGACATGCAAAGGATAGAGCCCATCAAGACAAAAGACACCAAGAGCCTTTTTCCTCTTCCCCTAGTTAACAATAATGTTGGCAGAAGAATCTGATCTTCCCTACAGTGCTTTCCAGCCACCACTACCCCAGAACTGTAATAGTTAAAAACACAAGGAACCTTATCCAGCTATCCAACTCCTGCTGTAGCAGCTCTTCAGCTGGTAACCCCTGTGCGGGAAGAGAAAAGGATTGAAATCCAAGGAGGGCAGTACAGGGAGGCAACGAAGTAACCTTCTGCCACTACCAAAGATTTCTGTGTTTCTCTTCCATGGAGCAGGTTTGTGGCTCCTTCATTCTCCCCCATCAGCACCCCGAGCCCCGGCACACTTAATCCCGGCTATCATCAGAATTGATTATGCTGATGTGTGGGACTCTCATTTCTCTTCTTCTATGTAGGTCTGGTAGTACCATTTGCTATTGTGGTTGCCTGACATCCCATAACACCACCTTATTCTCAGTTGCCTATAACTTTGCCAAACATTAATGATTTGTACTGCATTTGCCTTGCCAGGTGTCTGTGTCAGCCTGAAGGTTTTTTTGAAATACTGAGACAAAAAGTTCAATGATTTCTGAGAATGGAGCTAAAGAAAAATACCTGGTTTTGCCCATGTTACAAAGGTCTACGGACATTTTTTTAAAAGGCTCTAAAAATCCTCAGGCTTTGGGTGAGAAGGTCAAAATTTGGCAGGGCAGTGGCCTTTGGCTATCCTGATGAAAATCTGCTTGCATCTGGTTGTTTTAAGCCTTTGAAAAACTGCAGTTCTCACATAGCAAAGCTTGCTTAGATTTTTGTGGCTGAATTCCCTCAGGATTCCAGCCTCATGAGCCAGGACTTCCTTTGCAATTGCAGCTCTGTGCTGCTACAGGCCGTGCTGAGTCTGGGTATAGTCACCAAACTGAGAGCAGGGGGACAATCTCTCCTATGCTCTCAATGACCTTCCCCTGCTGGGCTCAGGCAATGTTGAGGAAGAATCTGCCTGATTTTAATATGGCAGGGACAAGAGCCCAATCTGCATGAGAGGCAGGGAAAGTGGATTGGGACAAGGATCCTCGAGAGGATGCGGGTGGAAACTGACGCTAGCAGAGAAGGGGAGAGGAAAAGTGATACTGGGACAGAAAGGGAGATAAGGATTGGGATTTGGAGCCTGCCGAGACGACTGGGTTTAGGAGGGTAGAATGGAACGGAAATCCAGGGAGGTGAGATGGGGACTGTTTGGACAGGGGAACCAGTAGGAGTGAGAATGAGATCAGATGAGTAGCCAGGGAGGGTGACTGGAATTGAGAGCTAGTGGAGTGAGAGTGATGGAGGTGAGGGGGGAGTGGAGACAGACCTGACAAAGACACAAAGTGTGTGAGGAGAACTGGGTTTGTCTGGGCAGAGAGACTGGGACAAGAGGATGGGGGAATGAACACAGAGTGAATAAAGAACGAGGGAGGGAATGAGTCAGTGGTGATTGGAAACAGCTGCTAAAGGTCAGGATGGTGGGGGGGGCGGGAGAGAAAGAGAGAGATCACACCAGGGGTCAGGACAGGGGTGGAGCAGGGAGATGGACTGGCTGGGCAAAGATCCTGGGGACTAGAGCTGGAATTTAGAAGTGGCTGGGTAAGGCGCCTGAGATTGGAGGCCAGAGACTGTATGGGGAGTCCATATGGATGAGACTAGGACTTGCCGGGCAAGGAGACCGAGACTGGACTGAGGAGCCTGAGGAGCGGAGGCAGAGACTGCCAAGGTTTGGAGAACATGACTGGGAGGAGCAGTGTGATGCAGGGAAGACAAGACAGGGACAGGTTGGAGGGGAGGTGGCTGAAGGGATCAAGCTTGGGGGAATGGTCAAAAGAGTCTGTGCCCTCTGGAGTACACTCCCCTCCAGAGCCTATAATGGAATCCACAATTCCTGGGGCTCACCATTTCTGAGAATGGAGCTAGGGTCTGAGCCCCAGTGGCAAAGCATCCCACCCCCTCTAGTGATGGTCCACACACAGAAGATGACAATCTACTGTGTAGTTCAAGAGCAGAGATCTAGGTGGTAGCTCCAAAGGTTTCAAGCCTGCTGTGTCGATATGATGCCATACAATGGAATTGCTAATAACCTTCCATTCCGGCTCTGGAGAGGCGTGTGCTCCAGGGGGCACAGACTCTTCGGCTCAGTTGCTGGGGGTACCTTTCCCAGATCTGAAGAAGAGCTCAGTGTGGCTCTGAAGCTTGCCTCATCCTCAGAAACTGGTTCAGTAAAACACACTTCCTCTCATACCCTGTGAAGACACTATGGTGTTCTTCAGAATGTATTCTGGACAATTTAGCTAAGTATGCAGCTTCGTTAAAAGTCAATTACTTCAAAATTCTGTGAATTTACAATTTCCATTGCATCCTTAAAACCTGTTCCTAACAAACTGAATGAGATGCTTTGCAATAAATGTGTGGTACTGTTAAATTATAACATGTAATTGTGCTCTAGAGAAAGAAGACTTGAGAATTCTCGGATACTGTGCTGATCTATGAGATCATGTAAGCATGAATGAGCTGAGTTTTGTTAAATGGAATTCATGTAGTCATGGGAAAATCTCTTTTTATTGCCTTATCTCAGGGCTAGAATTAATTGTATTTAACTGCTATCCTGTAAAATATAAATACCACCAGATTTCCCTCTCCTCTTTTTTAATCAATAATTTTCCTTCTCAGAAAAACAGATAATTAGTTTCTAATTTAAAAAAAAGCAAAGTAAGGATAGAGGAAAAGAGATCAAATGTTTATGTTTATATAGTAAAATCTAAAATAACCCTATATAATATAAATCAACACCATGTTTGGAGGGAAACATTACAGTTTATTGTAATATTTCTTATGTCCCTGTAAGCAATTACATGTGATACAGACAGTTAGCTAATGTTTGTGCAGTACCTTTCATATGTGTAGTCCCCTTACTAAAGGGGCCTCTGTTTTATTCTAAAAAGACCCTGTGTGCTACAATCCAGACTACAATTCCCATGAGCCCTTAGAACAAAAGAGGTAGGAGGGACTCTTGTGAGAGAGAGGAGGCTCTCTCCATGTGCTTGAAGAAGAGGCCTAGCAGTCTGGGACTCTGCCTTGCAGTTTGGAACCAAAGGGGGAGCCAGGCTGCTGCCAAGGACATTGACCCAGTGCAGGGGCTGTTGGAGTGCAGCTACTACATGCCTGTTGGAACTGGGAGTTAGCAGGCTGCTTCCTATAGGCACAGCATGAGGCAGTAAGTTTGGGCCTTGCTGGAAGAGTGCTGCCTGGGACAGAGCTGCTGTTTAGCCTGGACCAAATCCTCACTACAGCTGCAACATCAGCGCGCCAACGCAAGCAAGTGTCTGGGACTGAGTCTAAGGGTGTACACGCTCTGGGGTGGAGTAACTGTTGTCTAGTTATATAAGCTTCAGTTATTGTTATTTGTTTTGTTAATACTATTCCTTGCTAATCTGTTAATCCCTGTTTAGTTAAGTAAAGATGGTTTATTTTAAAGTATTCTATTAGATGTATATGATTTGTAGTTGTTCTGGAGTTAGATCCAGCTTTATGTTGGAATGAGTATATTCCTGGAGGCTCTCAAGGCACCAGTGTGTGTACAAGGCCAGCCAGGTGGAGGCACCACCACTTTACATTCATTGCCAGCAAGGGATTGCAGCAAGGGGGTGGATAGGGCTTTCCCCAGCTAAACACCATCACCACTGGGGTACTCAGGATCTCTTTTGGGTTAAAACACCAGGCGCCCAGGCACACCTGTGAGTGTGACCTGCTCCCCAGTAACCCGGGGAGGAAAAAGGGGGTTACATATGTAACGTACCATTGAAGTGAAAGAGATGCTTTACACACCTTAGAAGTCACTGCCTTAAGTTTCATGATTGTATTCTACCTTCCAAGCAGTTGGGGAACTTTACTGAAGCAGAAAGAAAAAATATTTATTCTTCAAAATAAAGATTAAAGCTTCTAAGATATAGAACATTTCTTTCACTTCTGTTGTACTTTACATGTGCAAGGTGCTGCATAAACGTTAGCCAACTGAGTCTCTCGATGTTCTGGGGTGTTTGCTTGCTTAAACACTACTGTGAGGGTGATCCTCTTCATTTTAAAGATGAAAAAGCAGAGATAGAAAAGGCAATGGCCATATTATGCCAACCTGGCTCACGTGGATTATTAGTTCAACACCTTAGTCCACAAGTAGTTGAATTCATTTCTGTGGAGCTACTAGATGTGTGTGGCACTGTGCAGTGTCAGTAAAGTGGAGAGCTCAGGGTAGACTTTAGGATTTGCTATCTTCTAACCTGTTAATCAGCCTCCCAAGATATACAGTCTCTCATAACGGTAATCTACATAGCACATGACTCCTCAAACTCCATTTTAGTCTAGTCATTTGCATATGAATTGTAAAATAAGTTTAAATAATATTTGCTATAAACATCCATTTATTTTACCCATATTCAAATTTATATTCATTTAATTTTTTTCTGGAATGAAGAGAGGATTTAAAAATTATGTTAAAGGAAACACAGAGAGTTTTATTAAATGGTTGTGACTTACAAGTTCAGGCAAGAATACCTGAACAGATAAGAAACTGATCTGGAAGGATTAAAACAGAATTAAACATGCATTTGCAGATTAATTTAGAGAAGACTGATGCACTTCAAAACCATTAGGCCAAGTCCTAGCGTCATTAGAGTCCATGGCAAACTATGGCATTGGATTTCATAAGTAAAATATTAGACAATACAATAGAGCTTGGGTCTGATCTCACTCCATTAGTTCCAGTCAATATAATCCTGAAAAGTACTAGAAAAGTCATCTTTCTTCTAGGATCAATGAGGTCAGAATCAAGCCATCATTCAACAGTAAGCCAGACTTGCTCCTACTACAATCACATTAAAATGGACTTTTTTGATTCCTGATTCACTCACATGTTTTGCAGCATCCGTCTAGAAAGGGCACGACATAACCTCCAACCTAAACAAAAACCAAAAACATCAGAATAATTTCTTTATCATAGCACCTACATATCAGTGTTATTGGACATGGCTTCCTTTGTTCTATACAGATCTACAATTCCATGCAGCCTCACTACTTTCAACGGGTGTGGATTAGAGAAGAAATTGACCTTAGATGATCTAACTTGAGTCTGTTAACACATGTGAATATATTCAGTGGCTGTCATTAAATATCATCATTCACCAATAGTTACCTCAGTGGTACCCGAACAGAATTCAGAACAGAAAACAACAGTGGGATCTCAGATTTTACCATGTGATTCTTGAACTTCACACATTCTTTATAGACCACAATTATAGTCACAGAAAATTAATCTTGAGTTAGTTCTCATAAAAAAGAATTCTCTGTTCAACAAAAGGCCCACTCTAGCCATAGCTCACTGACTATGACATCATAAAACGAAGCACCAATTGAAACAATGTAGCCCAGAAGCCACAGGTACCTCTCCAAATGTGGGTCTCCATCAGGTCTCTCACAAGGTGATCACTGACAAAACATTGAAACTTTCTGGCTGTCAAAAATTCCAAAAGATGAAAGAAGGAAGAAGACTTTTCTACTAAATGTATTTTGCTCTTAACCCTCTTTGCTCTTCCAATATTGCCATTTTAGGAGCTATAACAGAAAGTATCTTCTACCTATTGTGCCCCTTCCTATCAGCTAGGAAGAGGTATTACAGGTGCACAGTTCCTTTAAGACCCTTCCATTCACACCTCACCACACAATTGGGAGAAAACTATACAAGATCATTCCCTACAGTACATTTCCTTGGGTATGTCTACACTACCCCGCTAGTTCGAACTAGCGGGGTAGTGTAGACATACCCCTTGTTTTCCTTTATTCCCGTAGCTAGTTTAAGCTCATTTTGTGCCTTTGCCTTTCTGATCTTGCCCTGCATTCCTGTGTTGTTTGCCTGTATTTATCCTTTGTAATTTGTCCTACTTTCCATTTTTTATATGACTCCTTTTTATTTTTAGATCATGCAAGATCTCGTGGTTAAGCCAAGGCGGTCTTTTGCCATTTGTCTTTATTAAACTTCAAGCGTAGCATGGTAGAAAGGCGGTAAAGTAATATTATCCCCGCTTATGCTAATGAAGCCCGGGAAATTCAAATCCCGGGCTTCATTAGCAAGTGCGGTATGCATACATTACCCCGCTAGTTTGAACTAGCGGGGTAGTGTAGACATACCCCTAGTTACTTTGTCCAGCCTAGTTTTATACATTCATGGTCTCCCCTCCTTTGTAAAACTATAAATCACAGCCTCATACATCTTGCTATAGGATGATTTTCCTGATATGCAACCTAAATTTTCCATCATTTTTATGCTAAATTGCCATATACGGTACAGCAGTTAGAAAAGAGAAGTCTATGACTCAGTGCCCCAAGCAGCCAGTACTCCAATTCTCCATCTGGGAGCCGACTAACAATAGCTTACCTGGGACCCATGAAATCCAGCTCCACCGTGAGGCTTCAGCCCTGGGGACTGATTGACAGAGTCCCAGAGTGACTGAATGACCCACTGGCCCCACTTAAGCCAACAGCAGGAACAGGAAGCTGTCTGAGCACCTGGGTTCCACTGTGCTCTAGACTGCGTGTTTCCTGCTCCTGTCTTGATTTCCTGGCTCCTGAGCTGGCTTAACAAATGGCAAATTATTTGTGGTTCCTCATCTCCAGTTTGTCTTCTGCCTCTGAACCTCTGCTTTGATGACCAGAGTAACTCTTGGCTCCTGTCTTCTGGCTATTGACTCTAGCTCTGACTAGGTCTAGTTGCCCATGACCTAACCATGACAATGATTAACCAAGAAGTGCCTGCAGGTTTGGACAGCTGTGTCAGGCTAAGCTTATTGTTACAAACTTGCTTGAAAGGGGGATACATCCTCTCAGAATATGCAGTGTCCATTACAGTTTTGTAGCCCAGATGGCTTGCTGACCCAGAAAATATGTAAAGTTTTTGTATAGTTAGAGCACTTAGTGCAGTCACAATTTTGTTTTGAAGGATCTAAGTTGAAACTATAATGTTTCCCCTTCTTGAGAGGATTAGAGGATTTAGAGCAGGCAAAAATAAAACTTCAAATGCAAATGAAAACCATGATGACAAAATAAACTCTAAACACTGACCTTCACACATTCAGTTTCGTTAAATGGTGGGCAGCTGATGGAAGATGTAATTAAAACAGGTCCTACTGCTGTGGTTGTGCAGTCATACTTGACACAGTTTGAAATCCAAGAGGTACCAGGCTGTATAAAAATTGTAAAATGTCACCATTACCAGACCTTGGAACAAGACGTGATATTTTTATTTTTGAAAACAATTGCAATTAAACACAATCACAGCTGAATTAATGCAAACATACTTCCTGCAAAAATACAACTTAAATAGAACTTTAAAGCACAAAATTGTAGTGAAGATCACTCAAAAGTGTATTGTGATCTATTTCTGTGATACAGAAAAGAGCCTATTTTCTGTTTGGTTATACTTTTTTTTAAGAATCATCAATTCATTCTCTATTGTTAAAACATAAATAAAGCCAAATATGTCCTTCAATACACCTGGAAACTTACTTTAAAATTGGAGACTGTTCCATTGCTGAAAGTATGGACACAAGATACATTCTTACAGTGACCACAGCATGTTGTTAAATCTTTTGGAGGCTCATACACTTGATTCTGCAAAAATCAAACATGTTAGTCCTGCTATATAATAAGAGAGAGAGAGAGTAGATATTATAACTGTTTTTAATATCTAGATACCATGCCATGGGTTAGATTTTTCAGGATGGTATGACATTTTCAGAATTATTATTTTAAATTTCAGTATACAGCTTATATGCTCAGTTTTAAAAGATGTTGAGGGAGCTTGATCCAGCTTTCATAGCCATCAATGAGAAGAGACTGACTTTGAGAGATGAATTGGGCCCTTTGCAATTTTTAAATAGTGCATGTAACTGCTCATCCAATATTCAATGTGCATTGTAATCAATAGGTATTCAGGAAAATTCATATACTAAAGACATGGAGAAAGTTTTTTGCTGTGAATTAATTCACAGTATTTTGTACAAAGACAAGATGACACTTCGAATGTGTGTGGAGGACAGGAGGATACACAGTCCATTTTTACAGGATTTCCAGTCAAGTTTTTCTTAATTTTTATAAATATTCAGTGAGAGCCAATTTCTCGTTGGCATTTATGCACCAAAGAAGCAAAGGAGAAAGGAGAGGAGAAAGCTGGGTAGACATGTTCTATTTCTTCTCTATGAATTTATATCTCTCATCATTAGTGTTACACACAAGTATTGGCTCTTCTGAAACCAGAGATGTGCCCCAATTCTGATCACCCTTGCATTCTGTGGAAACTCAGATCCTTGTCTGAACTTTCAAGCTTGCTCCTACTTCAATACTATTACTACTACGACTACTACTACTAAAAACCTATATAAGCATCTCTGAGGAAGTTCAGCTCCAAATGTGGATCTGAACATTGTGGCAAAGGCTAATCCCAACTCATAGCATGGCTGTTCCACGTGTGCTCTATGAGTACAACTGAAAGGAGTTGTTCTGGGGAGAAGTCTAGGGTTGAAAAGTTAAATCTGCTTAATTCACCATGCATATGCTGTGATCCATCTAGTCTATATATCCCCAACTCATGTAGGTTACTTTTGCAAAAAATAGTGTACACAGGAAAGCGCTGCAGAGGCCTAGGACAGCCATCATAAAAGCACTGAGTTTGCAGTGTTAATTGGAGCCAGATTTTGACTTTGAGTTTGCATTATTATTAATAGTACATGGTTTTAAACAGAAGAGGTGCCCTAGACCGTTAAGGAAGGAGCTCATCATTGGTTAATCTCATTACCCCGTTCCTATTAATATTATCTGTTAACCAAAGAAAACTCATAGTTTATCCAACATTACCGAACACAATATGAATGTCTAAATTTCTGAATTTCTTACAGCTTCACACTTGATGACACAGTTTATCCAGGAGATATTTATCCGATAGTATTTGGTGGCAGGATCAATCATGTTTGTACAATAAGAAGTGTGGCAAATGCCATCCGGTGTGCGTTCCACAACTGTCTGTCCAGGATGCAGTACTCCTCTCTCGTTATTCAGACACACCTTGTCTCTCACTGCAACAGTATATACAATGATACAACACACTCACACCAATCACTTTGGTTTTACAGCTAAGCAAAACGGAATGTTTATTACAGAGTAACCTGCGTGACAAAGGCTAATGTGGTGTTTGATATCTCTTTTTTTTTAAAAATGGGGAGTCAGATCCTCAACTGAAGGAAATTGGCATGGCTCCATTGACTTCAATACAGCAATACCAATTTACATTAGCTGAGAACTTAGCCCTATAGCTTTAATAAGAATCTTTAACTGCATTCATGACAGTCCCAAAACTGTACCTACAAAAGTCATGCCTGAGATGTAGAAATGGATAGAATATTCCATTAATAGGAGCCTTAAAATGACTATAGGCAAAAGGTGATACATTCAGTGCTTAATTTATCCCAGGGATAACTAAGAGCGAGACCCAGGACTTCTAGGATCAGCTGTTCATAGCCCCGGCACCACTGGTTATGAAAGCAAAAACAATGCTTGAACGCCAGTACCTAATTGGTTAAACCCCTGCACATCTTTCATTACACATTATGCACTACATAAGCTCCTCTGGCTGTGTACATCTGGGTGAAAGAGAAACACCTTGAAATGTATACCGTGGAGAAGAAATGCTGACATACAATCTTATTAAAGGCCATATCCAATGTGCTTCACACATATTGCAGACTGGAGATCTGCAGGAACTGAAAGCAGAGACTGTGAGGGAGTAGCCAGAACAGACTCCGCCATCCAGTAGAATAGAGAGGGTTTATTGCTTCTCCAGGATACAGCACAACATAGACGTGATGCCAGGGTGCCTCAGACCCCTTAGGGTAGGGGGTCCACGAGGAGTAACGGTAGTTCAAATTAAGATCTTTAATTCGAACTACCTACTCCGTGCCATGTGTAGCAGTGGGCACAGAGTTCGGACTAAGGGGGATTTAAAAATGGCGGTGCCTGGGAACATGCAAATGAAGCCCGGGATATTTAAATCCTGGGCTTCATTTGCAACTCCGCTTGCCCTAATTATCCTACCTAGCTCAAACTAACGAGCTAGTGTAGACATACCCTAACAGATTGTGTTTCGTGGGCAGTAGTGTGCTTTGCATCTGCCCTGTTTCTCTTTGAAACCGGACTGGATCAAAGTGAATTAACAAACAGTTAATGCATGTCAGCTGGGCGAATGCAGGCAGTAGTGCATGGCAGGCTAGCACAGGGTAGAATCACTCCTCAGCTTGCCAAGAACAAAATGTTTGTGTAGACACATACCTAGACTAGTAAGAACAACATGTCTTTGCCACAGGACAAATTGACTCTGTCCAGACAGGCACACACACCTGCAACCCCTTTGTAGTGGCTCACTGAATTCCTGCTCCTCAGAGCAGCATTACTTTGAGACCCTTCTGGCCCCATTTCTGAGATTGATTCTGCACAGCATTGAGCACTGCACATGTTTAGCTTGCAGTGCCTGGGCAGTGATCTCATACGGGATCAAGGAAACTACTCCAGGGCTTATGAATCTACTTTACATGTTTTGCTAGGCTGAGGCTAGTGCTCAGTGCTGCAGAACTGAATCCTGTGAGGGGAATCATGTTGCTAAATCAGCTGTTCATCCACATCTCATACTGCCTCCAGGCAATGCCCCCGATTGCCCTAGCTGGCTTGCCTGCTGTAAGAATTCCAGATACCCAACTATCCAGTTAGTGAGAGACCCTAACATATTCCCTCCGCATCTTCTACCTCATCCCACAACCGTAGGGGTACGTCTAGACTACATGCCAATGTCCCCAGAGGCATATAGATTAGGCTACCAGGCATAGGAAAACGAAGCGGCGATTTAAATAATCGCTGCTTCATTTAAATGTACATGGCTGCTGCGCTGAGCCGACAAACTGCTGATCAGCTGTTTGTCGGCTCAGCGCAGTAATCTGGACGCGCGGGTGTTGACATCAAAGGCATTTGTCGACCACCCAGGTATGCCTCAGAAGTGAATGGATGGTCCCTAATAGGTGGTCCCCCCCTTAGCACTGTTGGGATACATCTTTGATGCAAACTCTTTTCCTACTTACCACACTTGTACTTAGTACAGCCACAAACATTCTCTTTGCTGTTCTGAAACTGTTCATCTATCTGCAGCTTCTCCCCCTATCCATACAAAAGAAAAAGAGATTAAGTGATGTCACAAATAAGTGTTTGTCTGATTTTTCTCCTTTAAATTTTCACTTCAGGGCTAAGTAGCACAGTTAACACACTAACCTGGAATCTTTGTATCCGCAAGTCATCTAGAAACTGTGACTTACTACACATTTGTTTACTTTTCCAAATTGAGAATGATTATAACTGTCAGTATAAGAAGAGTTTGAAACTGAAGTGGAAAGGCTATGGCAGATCAAGACTGAAATGCAGTGTCACACCTCTTAAGGGAAGTCTGCCTACTGTATGAGCCATGTCTTTAGCTGAGAGAACTCCATTGATGTGAATGGAATTACACCAACAGGGAATATGGTCCTACATTTTACTTTGGCCAATTTTCTTTCCTATATACTAAGATTAGTTAATTCACCCCTTCCTTTCCTCATTCCAGATGTCTAAAAATAGCTTTATTGTTAGCTTTTTCTAAATAGTTTCAGCTTTAGCTTTTTCTAAATAGTTTCAGAGGAGTAGCCATGTTAGTCTGTATCTGCAATAACAACAACGAGTCTTGTGGTACCTCTAAATAGTTAACTATATTTCATGGAGAGAAAAATACTATTTCTACCATTATGATGCCAAATTACATTTATCGTTGATTATTCCAAGGATAATATATTTTTCTGGATAAAATATTCATTCTGAATTCAAAATGTATTCATCCAGCAAAGTAATTAAGCATATGCCGAATCCTACGCACAAGAGCAGAATTCACACAAACAGTTCTAATGAAACATGATTAAGTGGTTTGCTGAATCAGAGCCTGATGTTTAAATATACTGACATATTCATCATGACAGGAAAGTGTTAAAATAATTAATGATAAGTTAAGTGTTTAATTTCTGATAGAATAAAGACCACTGATGTGTGCATGCAATTTCTGGGTAGGTACATTTCAAAGCAGGATTTGATCCTAAAAGAAAAAAAGCAAACTGATATGTGCTAGTCATTTTAGTTTGCTTATTTTTTCTCTCAGATTTTAAACTGGTGTGTCCAATTGCAATTGAAATGTTCATGACTAACATTTCAGCTATATTATGCCATAATTATTTAATATAATCTATCTATCGACTAACATTTAAAATGGGGAGAAAGTTACAGAAGTTCATCATAATTTACTGATGCTTTAAATATTTTTGCTAAGAAAATTCTAAAATAATTCATTTTAACAACAGAGATTCCATACCAGTTTGCACTGAGGTTTAGTGATTGTGTCACATGAACACTCTAAAATAAAACAGAAAAACAGACATTATTATTCAGAAAAGTATCTTTCCATTTGCATCAAAACAAAACAGTGTCAGAGACCAGAAACTCTAGAGGTCCTG